GTTCCTAAATTTTCTGTCATCCCCTTCCCCTTCCCCTGTTCGGTTTCTGTTCATCCCCTTCCCTTCCCCCTGTTTGGTTTCTGTCATCCCCTTTCCTTTTCCCTGTTCGATTTATCTCGATTTCTCCCCTTCCCCTTCCCATTCCCCTGTTTTCTCTCGATTGTTCGGTTTCTCTCATTTGCCTTCCCCTTCCCCTGTTCCCTCTTGGTTTCTCTCACCTTTCCCATGTTCTTTATCTAATTCCTTAACTTCCTCTCTCTGTGTAAAAAAAAACCAGGACAAAGATCGAAGCTTCAACGGGCAAAAGGGTTGTACCTTAAAGACCCGCTCCTCCTTCACAGTTCTCCCTCTCTCCCCCGACAACTTCTACTAAGACTTGAAAAAAAAAAAGAGAGCAAGGGTTGATTAATTCCTTGATATGGTGACTGCTTTTTACTGGAAAAATTTGGGCATTTTACTTTGATTGATTTTGCTTTGATTTGCCGGTTCTGCAGGGTGTGAGTGAGGAATACTGGAAAATATGTGATTTTTATATTTTGCTTAATGAATCTGGGTTGTTTTGAACACATCGAATGTGATGAGGGAAGATGAAGAAGAAACTGTGTTATGTTATGGGAAAAATATCACAGGTAACAGATTTATCAAGAAAATGAAGGATTCGTGTCTTAATTCTTGTAGATCTAACGAAGAAGATAAAAACATAAAGGAAAAAAAAATAAAAACATATAAAGGAAATAAAAGAAAACAAATACCTGAAATAAGAGTTTCAATTGTTCCAGAAAAATAATGCACTTGTTCACTTGTTCCTGCTTGCTTCTTACTAATTGTTTACGAAGAAATGAGAGACCGTGATTTGAGAATTTGAGAGTAATGTGTGTAATGAAAAAAAGGAAAGTGTTTTCCTTTCTTTATCAAAAGGAAAACACTTTCCTTTGATAAAGTTAAGTTTTAAGTTTTGACCGGAATTAAGTTTCCGTTGACTAGTTTTCTATATTGATACCAAACATGGGAAACTGAGGAAAATGAATTCCCGGAATTGGTTTTCCTCATAACAAACATGGCCTTAATTGATTTAAAGTAATTATAGTTTTGGGATGGAATTTGAAGAATGAATAAGTATTTAGACCATTTTTTAAACCAAAATCATGGACTTATTTGCACAATCAAAGGGGAAGTTCAAGTCCTTTTTTTATATATATTTTTTATTTTAGCCCCTCAACTTTTTTTTTTTAATTTGATTCCTTCTCATTGGATTTATTCGAATATTGACTTGGTATTTTATTTTGGTTGCATTAATGCAGGTATCTTGCAATGTCAAGGAGAATTTTTGGTGCTAAATCGATTCTAAGTATTGCAAAATAAAACATAATTCAACTAAATTAAAACAATTAAGTTTTTAGAAATCAAAATTAATACTAAGACAAGTATAGAAACTAGGGTAAATAAGCATGTAAAATAGGGTGGCTTGTGTAACGCATGCACCATCAACTAGGAGGCTTTTGCTTTATTAGAGAGATGCTTGACATGTCTTTTAACAGGCAAACAATAACTTTCATGACAACATTAAAAGTATCATGTGATGATTTTTTTTTTTGTGGTGTGGTGCATGTTAGTAATAGCATGATGATTAGACTTTAATAGGATTTTTTACTTCTTTACTTCTCTTCCTTATTTTCTCTCTACTCTCTTTATGAATCACCCTGCCCTATAAAAATTTAAAGGTGTCATGTTATTTATTTATTGTGTTAAATTTGATCTTTATTCTTTTAATTATTTTTATTTTTTTGAATCTTTTTTTTTTCAATTTTATCCCTTAGCATTTTATTACATTTGAATTTTATGTAAAACCAAATCCTTATTTTTTTTATTGCTATTTTTTATTTTTTTAATTATAATTATTTTTCAATTTCATCCCTTAGCATATTGTTTCATTATATTTTTACGTCAAATTTAGTCACCATTATTTCTACTTTTTTATTTTGATACTTTTTTTAATTGCTTTTATTTTTTTAATTTTATTATTTAATATTAATTTATTTGAGAATTATATTTTGTAATTTTTTGGTTTGGTGAACTTGTTCTCGTGACTCTACCCATGAGTATGAAATGTTAGTCTAAATTAACAAAGTTGTTTTCTTTTTATTTTTTACATCGATTTTCTTTTTAGATTTCATCTTTCAAACATTGAGTTTCATGATTTTTAGACTTTTCTTTTCATGATGTTATCCCGGTCACATAACTTAGATCATATGTTTGATGATGAGTTTGCCTAAGTTAGTTCAAATCTTTTTTTGTGTTATTTTTTTAACGTTGAATATTTTTTCAGCTCTATCTTTCAACAATTTTTTTTTTTTTAGAATTGAGGTTCATAATTTTTATTATTTTTATTTCTATAAGGTTATCACGTTTATATAATCTAGCTCATCTAGCTCTCGAGTTTGATGGCCTTACTAGAGTTTGTTGTTGTTTTATTTTTTTAGGGTTTTTTTTATTAACTTTTTTATTTTATTTCATGAATCTAAATTTGAATAGTTGGAAATTAAACATCATTTTTTTTTTTAGGTTAGCCTGACATTATAATTTGGATTCAAATTTGTCATGCTAATTATGATTAACTTAGATCATTTATTTTTTTATTTTATCTTTTAATTAGCATAGAATTGTCTTAGGAATGAACATAATAATTTTTTTTCCTTTTGTCAAGTGATCTTCTTTCCATAGGTCATCATCATCATTATTTTTTTGTTTAAATTCAGTCCATTTATTATTATTATTATTTTATCATATAATTTTATTGAACACCCTAAATCTATGACTTGATTCATGGATTTTTTTTTCTTTTTTAAAACACGGCAAGTAGTTCCTGAATATTATTGTTTATGTTAAAATAAAAATTCAGCCCGGCCGCAATAAAACACAAGTAACTTAACTCTATCGGAAAACACAAAGAGGCCTTTCCCTTCAAGGACAAGGCTGTTCGGCTTTGTCGATGGAACTAACTCGTGCCCTCCATCACATCCAATTGTTGACATCCGAATCCGGCTCTCAGTTCCTGGGTAACAAGATAAGTTGTTGATGAGCACTTTCCTCGGATGTTTTCCATTTGGTGGTAGATTTTTCAACCTCGAAGAGTATTTGGCAAACAGTGGAGCTCGCCCTTCCCTCTCCCTCTAATACTGGCACCATGACTCTTCACATGGGGTTACAAGAGCTCCGCCAACATGATGCTGCTACAGCCTATCTTCAGCGTGCTAAGCAACTCAATGATGAGTTAGCTGCTGTAACCGACCCCTATCGAACGCAGACTTAAATTTATTTATCTTCAAAGAGTTACGCAGTGATCGAGTTCAAGGATATTGTCACCGAGTCTGTTCTGCTGCAAGTTTAGTGCAGTGTGCCTCTCCTCGGCTGCAGAAAAATCAGCAGTAGACCTACGGCAATAACTCCTCCAAGCGGTCTCAAAGTAGTGTGCTTCTCCTCAATGGATCTTACAAGGTTAGCTAGCTAGTGCTCCCCGAGGTTGTAATAGTGTCCAAATTATCCTTAAAAATTGCTGTTTTAGAATTTTTCTTATTTTTCGATGTTCAGTAGAACATAGTTTGTTGTGGTAAGTCTGGAATTTCATCATGGCCAAAAAAAAATTTATTAATATTGAAGTTATTATAAAATGATTATAAAGAGTTTATTGGATCTTATAACATGATTTTTTTTTTTTTTTGCTTGTGCGTTTAGTCTCACCATGTAATAATATATCCCCATTCCTTTGTTTGCGAGATGCAAACTAACCCATTACACCCTATTTAGCAATATCTTAGGCTAAACGCGCACAAGTACAGATGCAAGAAATTTTGTTGTTCATACGCACTATATACAATATCTTCGTAATTATTTTACACAAACTTCAAAATTAATATTTTTTTCATAGTTCACCATGATAAAATTTCAACTTACCGGCATGAACTTTCTGGGATTGAGTATCATATCGCCAATCTTCAACATCATAAGTAAAAATCATGTCTTGCAAATCATACTTTCAATAACAAGAAATCTTATTCAATAGAAAGGACACTGCCATCATTAATAACCATCTAATAATTTTCTTTTTAGAAAAGAATTCCCATAAAAGAAAGGAATTTCCTCATAATTTGAAACACAATTACAAAAGGAGTAAATATGAATTAATTCTTTAATGTATTTTTTATCCTATACACCATTCTCTATATAAACACGATGCCCATGTGGATTTGTAGGAATAAATTTGAGGTTTGGTTTGGCTCGAGATAAGTATATGACACACCCCTTTCCTTTTGGTTCCTCCCTCTAAAAATTGATCTAGCTGCTTAGTTAGGTATGCTACTGAATGCTACACCTGATCAAGTCCCTACGCTGCCTCTTGCACCTTCAAAGAGCTCAAAATATCTTCCATTTATTTATTTGCATTAAAAGGTGGGATGATGTTGCATAAAATATACAGGTAACAAAATCAATGAGTCTATAAAAAATACTAAAATATTTTAGGCTTCAATTTTTCAACTAAAAAGTAAAATAATAATTTAATTTTATATAAAAAAACAGTATTAACCCCATCCCAAGCCGCGCAAATCTGTATTCCACAGCGTAATTGCATCGAGTTTTCACCTCATGATTTAGGGTATTTGTTAATGTTCACTTAGGATCGGTTTGTCAAGCCGTATGTTGCGTCTAACGCTTTGCTGGAAACTAGCCCACTGAAACTTAAGGAACAGTGAAGCAAATGATGTCCCTACCTGCAAAAAGGGGACATGCAAGGATTAAAAAACATCATATTCTAGATTAATTAGTCTTGTCTTAGTTTTATAGCAATGCCTCCTGTTCTAAAAGCTAATGATGAGAAATTCACGAGGTTGCTGGTTCCCAGCTAGGTTATTAAGAATCCTCTTACAAATTTTGGAGAGAAAACATCAAGTTGTCGATATGGCTCATAAATTTTGTAGCCATCATAGATTGGGAAAGAAAGCTTAATAATAAGAACATAACCTCGTATCAGTTACTGATCGTTTTTTGAAAGTGGGCTACAGGAACAAGATGAAGAGGTGATTTCATACGAATAACTGGTGTAAACACCTCACTCATATCTAAATCCTCTGCGGTGATGCCTTCAGGAAACTCCCAGTCAAACCAATACAAGATATTAGCTAGAACATATTCAACTTCTACAACTGCAAATGCAATTCCGGGGCAACCCCTTCTGCCAGCACCAAAAGGAATGAATTGGTGGTTTTGGCCTTTAAAATCAACTGATTTATTTGCAAATCTCTCTGGGATAAACTCTTCAGGACTATCCCATAATTTGGGGTCACGTTGAATCGCCCACGAATTGATCATCACTTTCAAATTGGCAGGGATGTGATAGCCTTCCAATTCAAGACTTGCAGATGTTCTCCGGGCAATAAAAAGAGGCGCGTGTAACCTCAGAGTCTCTTTCACAATACACTTTAAGAAATCCATTTGATCGATATCAATTTCTTCGACCTTGGATTTTTCTCCGACAACACCTCTTACTTCTTCTTGGACTTTCTTCAGTGCACTTGGATTACTCACTAGTTCTGCCATTGCCCATTCCATGGTGGTTGCAATAGTATCTGTTGCTCCAATAAACATATCCTGTATTTGAAAAGGAATCAAGTTTCAGCAGAAGGTGAGCAATCACAGAAAAACACACAGAGAGAGGAGAGAGGGAGAGACCATGAGGGTTGCTTTGAGGTTGTCCCGACTGAGATCAATGTCGGTCATTCCATTCTTCTGAATATGAAGTAGAATATCTACCAAGTCTTTCTTATCAGTTATGTCATCTTCAGTCCTGGAAACCAAATGTTCTTCAATCACTTGATCGAGAAAAGCATCAAGTGCTTTGGAAGTCCTCTTCAGTTTAGAAACTAAACCAGTAATAACATCCATCCAACCCAACAAGGGAAAGAAGTCTTTTAAGCAGAACTCTCCAATCAGGTCCATAGCCGTCCTCCACAATTCTCCCAACTGCTGACCATCTACTTCTTCATATGTCCTTCCAAAAGCAGATCTAGATAGTATGTCATTAGAGATGGTTAAAAACGCCGCACCAACATCAATGGCAACTTTACTGAGGCATGAAATCTGTATTTTCTCAACCATTTTCTCCACTTCTTCTTCCCTGGCGAATTGAAATGCCTGCACCCTTCTTTGGCTCAGGAGTTCAAGGACACAAACTTTTTTCGCTTGTCTCCAATAGTTACCATAAGAACAAAATGCTATGCCACTGCTTCCATAAAAGAGAGCATCTCCAGCCCTTGTTTGAGGTTTATCCAAGAAAGCTTTATCATGTGTCTTCAAGATCTCTTTGGCTGTCTCTGCTGAGGAAACAATGAGAGCTGGAGAACTGCCAAGGTGTAAGAGCATTAAGGGTCCATACTTCTCAGACAAGTTACGGAGTGACCTATGGGGGAGCCTGCCTACCTGGTGAAGATTTCCTATCATTGGCAGCTTCAATGGGGATGGAGGTAAGTTGAGCTTGTCTGTCTGAATGGACTTGGTGAAATAAATGGTGCAGAAAGCCATAAATGGAAGAACCATGACAGCGAGCAAGATTGTCCTATCCAATTCTAGCCAATACTGGTGCAAAAAAATCGAAGGATCCATTCTTTCCTCCTATAAAACTAACAATACAGCAGCTTTTCATAAATGATTGAACAGAAAATCGAACTGCCTGCCTGTTGAGATGTTTACACGTTTCTCCTATGAACTAAAAATTGATATGAAGATGGTAATAGTAACATGTATTTTACAATTCACATTAGAGGAAGAGACTCCAACTAGACATTAAAATAGTAGACTTCAGGCAGCATGCATTATCTAGAAATTTAACAAATCCCAGTTGCTTGACCAGAGATGCATTAATCTGATTACAAAGCATCATTTCCAGCTTGATAAATCAACTGATACTGGACCTAATATCATAAAGCCACTGCCAACTTGCCACCATCAACATTAAGAAATTCAAAACAGAGGTATGTACAGCTGGACTCTGATATATGAAATAGATCTTAAGGCACATGATTCACGATGATGATTTTAGTTTGGTACGTAGTGATCTGGGACTTTGTATTCAAAACTCAACGAAACAATTTTTTTTATGAGAAAATGGGCCCTTCAAATAAAATACGATGAAGATCGTATCTTAATTACCTAGGTAATTTGTCTGTTCTGCAGGAGGACTAGCTAGCAATAGGGTATTTATTTTATTTATTTTTTCAAAAAAGGATTGACGCGTACCGTGGATTATTATAGTATATTTATCATTTTACTATTATAAAGAAAATTATTATCCTAGGTTTTCAGGGTAATACAATTTATTTTTTAAAGTCAAGTAGTCATTATTAATTATCAGCTAGTAATTATTTATTTTTTATATATTTTTACATCACCCTAAAATAACTAAATTACTTTAAAAAAATTTATTTAACTAGCATTTAGGTTTGTTTTGAATTTTCATTTTTTACAATGTAGTAAAATAATTAAATTATCTTTAAAAATAATATTGTTTTTTTACTTGCATACAGAGGCTCTTTTTTTTTTCAACTAGTTTTTTTATATGTACAAATTGACTTAGGAATAATTTAGTATTTTGATAAATATAAAATATAATTTAAAAAACAAAAGAGATGTTTGAAAGTCAAACATTAGCTTTTGGATGGTATTTGAGTCATCTTGATGCTCTCTCCAGTTCTAGGTAGCGCGCGTGGCTTACTAACCTCTAGTTTGCCATCAATGACATTTTTGTTTTTTTTTTCCCCTCTTCTTCTCAATTTTCAAACCTAACATTTTAAATTCTCAAAGCAGCCCTATAAATTTTTTTCTTCAGATTTGGTTCATCTTTTATTTATTTATTTTATTTCAAATAATTTATAAAAATAATTTTTTTTCAAATTAATCCTTTAATTTTTTTCATCTGTCAGATTTGGTCCAGACTCTTTTGATTGCTATTTGTTTTATTTGAGATAATTTTAAGATTTTTTTTTTATGATTTCATTCTCCTTTTATTTTTTTTATCACATTTGATCTTCATTCTTTTGATTGTTATTTTTCTTACAATGATAATTTTTAAATTAATATTTATTTTTTAATTTCATCTTCTAATATTAAATTGGTTGAGAATTTGACTTCTTGATTGAGTTCAGGTTTAAGACTTTATGAGTTGTGAATTTGGTAGTTTAACTCAGGTTTAGGAGATTTGTTTGGGTTGATATGGTTTTTTTTCCCATTTTTTAAGATCATGGTTTTTTCAATTTCATCCTTAAAAAATTATTTAATTGGAGATTAGGCTCTGTTACTTTTTTTTTCTTTGTATAGGATTCTTCACTAATTTTTAAAATGACCTAAGTTATCTTGAGTTTTTTTATTTGTCATTCTTTGTTAAATTTAGCTTCGTCTTTTTTTTTTTAAAAAAAAAATTGTTTTCAATTAACTCAAAATTAGTTGATGAATATAAGCATGAGATACTCATTTCATGATATTTTATTTGGTTTTCTTTTTGGGTCGTTGTTTTGATGGCGCGTGCGGTCTCTTTAGGTGTTGTCTTGCAGCCTTTCATCCTAGTGTTAGAACCATCTTGGTGAGCTCTTTCTAGTGGTGAGACGATGCCCACAACAAAGCAATGGTGAATCTCTAATGTACTTTTCTTTCTTTTCATTTCGACCAAGATATTGACAATTCATTTTTTATATTTAATTATTGTTAATTTTTTATTTGCTTTATTTATTGTCAATGACCTTTTTTTAATCATATTGTTAAATTAATCAAACTTATTGAATTTCATCAAGTTTATAACTCGAGTCGCAAATTTTTCCTACTTTTTAAAATTAAAAATCAATAATATGACCCGAGTTTTTCTATGACTTGAGTATCAATTTTTTCTTACCAAGAACAGGCACCTGAGACACAAATTTCCATCCTTGACGTGGGCTCGTTGAGTGTGATATCGTCACGTTAAGGGGGCTTCCTTCACAGCGGTATTCATTTATCCTAAAGTACTAGGCTCATTGGAAGAACGACCTTTCAATGTAAGTTTGTTTTTCCTACAAAGCGACATGTTAATAATTTTTGAAAAACTAATTTCAATTAACAAATATAATTTTAGTTTTACAAATATTGAGACTGCCAAGCCCAGAACCATAACATCAGTGATGAAATCATCGATAAAAATTTCATTGTTTTAAATGAGTCAGGTTTTCTAATATCCTAAATGGAAACCTATGATTCATGCATGATTTAGAGGGTTTAAAGTTGGTATTAACTTAAATATTTTTTTATTATATTAATTTGATTAGTTTATTAATATTAATGAAAATTTTCTTTTACAAATTCTAATTGCAAGAAAAATTTTGAATGGGATAAAGTTGACAATGCTATTGCAAAAAAGATTTAGAAGAATCACGCTGCAACTAGATAAGATTAGAATCAAGATAAAATTTCTTAATCCTTTTATTCAATTTTATTTTTCATTTATTAACATATAATTCATTTATATTATATAGGTTGCATGATTTTTTGTAGGTAGCGCAACAAAAAAACTAAAAATATATGAAAGAAAAAGAGATTTTAGGCTGGAATGACATAATGGTGTGAAAAGATTTCAAACCTCTGTATGTCTCAAAGGTTTTGTATGTCTCAAAGGTTGGGTGAGCAACATATATTTAGCATGTTATTGAGAAACATTTTGTGTGACGATCACACTTCAGTGCAGAGAACCGGAATCATCATGTTCATGGTTTTATTGCAATGCACATCGATGGCTCTATTCCATTTGTTTTGCATGCAAAGTGGATGGTAAGTTTTTTTTTTTTACTTATATCCATTTTTTTGTCTTTTATAGATATTGTTGCACATGGGCAAGCAATGTCGAGGGTCAAAGAATTGTCACCTGATTGTTTGATTCAGCGTTATTGGGAGACCCAAATATACTAGTCTTATAAAAAATTCTAGGGTAAGAAATTGATTGTGGATAGAAAACGATAAGCTGTATTATGTGATCTTCATATGGTTTAAAGTTTTTGATGGGTTTTTAACCAATAGTCAATCTATGGCTAATGACAAATATTTACTCTTATAAATAAATTTGATATTTGAAATTTATTATGGTCTTGCATGCCTAAAAAAATTCTTATATAAAAGGATCCATGTAGGTACCCTGACAAGATTTAATAATCCTGAAAAGTGAAAGGGCTTTCCATAATTCATATATTATGATGAAAAATACATTTCATTAAAATTGATGAATATCTAAAAATAATTTTAAAAATTCTCTAGTCAACTCCCAATATTTAAATAGCAGTCTACTTATGATTTGGATTAAAAGGAATCCCTATATTGTATTAGAAACATTAGTGGTGCAACATGAATTAATGCACTAAATATTATTTTTTTAGAGGTAAGAATATTTTTTTTGTTTATAATTAATCTTATACCAATAATGAAACTCAATAAAAACTCTTTAAACTAAATTTTTTTTCATTAAAAAAACATCAGATATATGTTATTTTCTCTTTCTCTTTTTTTTGTTAAAAGCTGTTACGACTTTGGGCAGCGAAACAAGAAGAAAATCTTGGAGATTGATCATCAACTTGTCAAATGATCATTGATTCCTTGATGAATATGCTATTTGCTCTTCATTATTTATTTCTCAGAAGGAGAAACAATAATTAGACTCTTATTTCTGAGTAGATACATGCATAGCAACCTCGCAAAATAAATAGAATGTGGAATCTTAAACTTGATACTAACAGATTTAGAATAATGCAAAAAATAACAAACATGAGAGGAATAGAAAATAAAATAAAGATACAAAATCTGACAAAGAAATTTTGATTAAAAAGAAGAAGAAGGTGATACTAGATGGAGAAATTTTATAGTGCTGTGCCGTAGGTGCTGCTAGCCAAAACAAATTGAATTTTTTAAAAGGTAGTCTCAAAGAGTTATAAATTCTAAATTGAAAGATTTTTTTTCCTTCTAGTTTCTTCAATTTCTCGATAAAAATAAATATAATCAACAATAATTCAAATATATATAAAAAGAATTTATGTTATATAAATTTTACTATTAGATAGTGTCCATGGATCTCATTATAGGTACCTAAAAATACAAAATGATCTTCCTTCCATGGGAGCTTCTCCTCGGGCAATAAAACCTTGATTTAGTTATCATCAAAACCATAAAAGGCTCGCTAAATTAAATTTTTTTCTGGCGATAAGCTACAATTACATCATAGGAATTGTTGAGACTTTTTGTATTAGAACAAATCCAATAAATTTATCATTTTATTTGAATGAAAAAAAAACAAATTATTAAGATAAAAAAATAAATAGTTATATTTGAATCTTTATCTTTAAGTGATTTTAGCAACAACATCATTTATACAACGTGTTTTAAGAGTATAATTGTAGTATTTTTCATTCAGAAAAATATATTAATAAAATTTTTTATTTATTAAAAATTATTGAAAACATCAAAAACATATTAATTCAAAAAAATTTAAAAGTTTTTTAAAAATACTTTAAAAAATTACTCCCAAACAATCATATAATATCTACCACCATAAAATTGTTGTGATCATCACAGTAATGCCATCTCACGGTCATAATTGATCATAAATTAATGAGCAAGATAACATAAAAAGGAAAATGAATGGACGTCGAAGAAAAAGACAAGCGGCATAAGAAAAACAGTTTAAGGATAATGTCGGCCGAGCATGCATCTACTTTTTGTAATTTAACAGCCGTTAATCACGTGTATGACTTTCAATTGGCGTAAGTTTATTATCGTTTTAAATGTTTTTGAAAAAAAATTATTTTATATTTTAAAATTAATTTTTTTATAATATTTCCAGTTTTTTTAAAATTCTAACATCAACAATAATTTTAAAAAAATAAAAAATATTATTTTAATATAATTTTAAATATTTTTTAAAAAAAAACTAATATTACCAATCTCACAACTATCCTTTAACTCAAATCTCCATGCAGATAAATCTGATGGTCCACAATACTAGCTAAGAGTCAAAGTATTCTCTTCATATAAACATGCTAAACTCTGAATCATTCGTGTAATTCATTGCAGAACTCAAAAACAAAGTAGCTAAAATGGCATCTACAAAACCTTGCAAGAACAAGGTTCAAGACAAGGTTGCTATCGTCACGGGAGGTGCTAGTGGCATAGGCGAGGCCACCGTGCTTGCCTTCGCTGAAAATGGCGCCCGAGCGGTCGTGATCGCAGATATTCAAGATGAGAAGGGCCAAAAGCTTGCAGAATCCATCGGATCTAACAGATCCACTTACATCCACTGTGATGTAACTGATGAAAACCAAGTCAGATCCCTTGTGGAATCCACTGTTCAACTTTACGGTCACCTTGACGTGATATTCTGCAATGCCGGCATTGCAAGCTGTGGTAAGCAAAATGTTCTTGACTTCGACCTGGACTCGAGCGACAAACTCTTTGCAGTAAACGTGCGTGGCACAGCAGCATGCCTAAAGCACGCGGCGCGTGCCATGGTGGAAGGAGGTGTAAAGGGCAGCGTCATATGCACATCAAGCGCCGTTGCGACTCTTGCAGAGGACAAGTTCACAGATTATATCATGTCCAAGAGCGGGGTTTTGGCACTGATGAAATGTGCAAGTTATCAGTTGGGTGAGCATGGGATAAGAGTCAACTGTGTGTCTCCAGGACCGGTGGCGACACCTCTAGCATGCAAGCTATTTGAAATGGGAGTAGAGGAGGCGGAGAAGGCTTTTCAGTCGTCTTATTACTTGAAAGGTGTGTTGAAAACGAAGCACGTAGCTGACGCAGTGCTGTTTCTTGCTTCTGACGATTCTGAGTTTGTGACTGGCCAGAATTTGATGGTCGATGGGGGGTTTAATTTTCGAGCTCATCCCAAATAAAAAAAATGATCCGGGGAAGGATGGTGTCGCATTTAGTTCTTAATTAATAATGATTTTCGATATGATTAATTAATTTGTCGAGAAATTTATTTATTATTAAGGGATCCACCTGATCTTCCAAATAATTCTTTCAAGATTTTCTTTTGATAACTTATTATTTAAGGATTTAATTAAGTAATACCATCAATTTAAATTTGATTTATTTCAAATCAACTAAAGCATCATAATCAACACTCTCAATTATTGGAAGATATGCATTATTGCTCATCCTGATGGGAAAACAACGCTTTAAATAGCTGGAAGACGTGTAAAACAACTGTGTTTTGCGGTCTCCTTTTTTAAAAATTCAACTTTTTAAAATACCTTTTTTCTTTTTTTAAACGATTCAATCATTGAAACAACTGTTGTTTTTTCTTGAGGAATAGCATGGCTTCTCTCTTTTTTTTCTCTTTTTTTTCTTTTTTCTCCACATTAGCAGAGATGAGGTCAGTGTGCGGTTACCTTCCATATGAAGATCTTGAATGAGCAAAGGGGAAGGGGAAGGAATAAGCAAGAGGGCAAGCATTACTCTATGCAGTCTAGAATAGATGTGGTGGATACAGTAATCAGAGATATTCTATTAGTTATTTTTTAATTTTTTATATATTTTTTTAAAATGAGTACGAAAAAGAAATATTATGTGACAATATTTTTATTTCTTTTAGTTTGTTAAAAAAAAATGTATTCCTTTATTTTATGTTTTAATTTTTCTTCAAAAGGAAAGCACTCAAATGATTTGTGTCCGACTATCTTAAAAGCAGACGCCTGCATAAACTAATAAAACATTACTAATTATTCTCTAAACAAAGCTTTCCCAACTAGAACTATTTATAGTCATTATTAATTAAAAAGGAAAATAAAACGAATGGAGCAGTTTAATCAACCAAAAACGGTAAAAAGAATTGGACGGACTGCTTCCAAATCAACATTCTATTAATAATTCTCAACAAGATTTCCCTACCGTACACTCTTGGAATTGGGTTAGCAACTTCTAACAATACATTCAAACCCAGCAAGCACACTAAGCGAGACGCCCAGCAGCGGTTCCTGACATTTAAGCAGAGGTGCCTGAGTTTTATGCCAAAGATACTTACAGATGCCAACCTCTCCAATGGTTGGGGTGTAATAGGCAACGCAGATTCTTAACGTAAGAACTTCACCACTGTCAGCTGGATTAACTGCCACAGCCCCAATAAAGCAACAACACAGTACACAATCACAGGCCCTCAGCTCTTAGCATGACCATTCTATTCCTCACCTCCTATGCTGAACTTTTGCTAAGAAGGGATGTCTCAGAGCTTCTCGAGCTGTTAACCTGTCCAAGGGATCATATCTAAGCAGTCCTTGCAGGAGGTGTATAAGATCTCCAGCAGACTGGTCCACATGTTGCATTACTAGATTCTGCAAAAAGAAAAAAGAAAAAAAAAGCAGGAAAGAGATGGTAAGAATATAAAAACAATTAACGAACAACATTCTCAGCGATTACACAACAAAATATGTAGGAAAAACAAAAACCTGAAGTCGGGGTAGCTTCAAAACAGCTTTCATACTTTCTCTTGAAGCAGCTCCCTCTGGCCAGTCCAGCCTACCCCTTCTAACATACTTCCCAGCATGTCGACTATGAAAGCAGAAGAAAAGGTTACGAGCCCGAAAGCTTAAGTGATAACATGTGATCATATATCAATGTATAGATATACATATAACTTACTCCACTCTCTTCAGTACATGCTGTGGTATAGGACCAAGCACTCGTTCCATCATTGCAAGATGTTCCAAATTTTCATGTGTTTGAAATAAAGCCTCACCCTGTTCAACATATGCAAAGTTGTAACAAAATCATTTGCATTTAGCCATTGTAGTGCACAGTAGAAAACAAGAAAAGCTAAGTAGAGGTACAGAAACATACAGTGCATAACTCCACTAAGATGCAACCAACACTCCATATATCACAAGGATAACTCCATCCAAGTCCTGCAGTAATAATAATTGGAAGTTGAAATTTCAAAACTAGGAAAGGAAAAGGAAAAATAAACAGAGAAAACATGACCAAGAATTACCAAGAATAACTTCTGGTGCGCGGTAATGCCGTGTTGATACAATGTAATTCTGATCTTGTCGCTCATAAGTTGTGCTACCAAAATCAATTACCTTAATGGCACTTGATTTTGGGACTCTTTTATAGTAGGAAATGTCCTTTGGTGAACGAGATGAGTTCTGTGCAAAGCAACATATGTAAACGACCTTAATAAGCCAAGTCATCCAGAAAGAATTGGAGAAGGACAAAGCAAATGCAATATGGAAACTACAGAACACAGCAAGAGCAAAACATAAAATAACAAGCAAAGAAGCTAAGCATTGCCTTGTAATCAGGAACTTTTACATAGTCAGAAGAAACCAGGAGTATGTTCTCAGGCTTCAAATCAGTATGTATCATACGCAGGTCATGCATAACTGCAAGTTTTGAAGTGCAGAACCAACATAAGTAAATGAATCACAAGAAAACCCTTACTCAATTTTAACCGAACAATGCAGCAAGCTACTCTAAAGAGAGACAAATGAAAGAAATTTTTTTGCCTGAGTCAGAAAAACATTAGTGAATTTATGTATCTCCATCTTAGTTAAAAACTAAACATTAATATTATAAAAGACAGAAAAAAGAAAGGAAAGAAAAAATAAAAAAAATGAAAAAAAAGAAACTAGCTAAAGCAATCAATACACACATGCTACACATTCCAACAGTTGTCTGCCAATCTCACGGACAAGATCAATGGGAAATGAGCGATAATTGTTTTTGCGAAGAAAATCGTATAAGCTTGGTCCAAGCTTCTCAAATACCTGTTAAAACCATTTACATTCATCCACAAGTTTTAACCCCCAAGTTATTTGTGAATTGGGGAAATTAATCCATCACAAACTAATCATATATACTTACAATACAGATATGGTTACGATAGTCAAACCAGTTCCGTATTTGCACACAACTGCAAGGAATAAACCCATTTAACCATTGACACAGAAGCATAAGAAAGCAGGTCACATGGCCAGCAATGGCAACAAAGCAGGTTAGGACAGATTAGGGAAACTCACCGGTTGCTCCCTTTATCATGTTTACCAAGATGTTGCAGCACTTCAATTTCTATCATAGCTGCTTCCCTATATTTCTTGATGCCACGTACAATTTTGATGGCGACCATTTCCTTTCTTTCTCTGTCCCAGCATTCCAAAACCTGACCGAAGGTGCCTATACAAGGAACAGATAGTATAAAGCCACAATGTGTGATTAAGGAAAACTACAAGGCATGTGAATTGGTGACAGGGCATACCTTCTCCCATTTTGCTGTGTATCTTGTCTGCAACAGTAGAAGCAAGAGAGAACCAAAAAAAAAAAAAACCTTGGTCAGAGACTATCACAAGTAACCTGTCAAGATAAAATCTCAGTAGAATTACTTCTAATATCTCCAAAGACAAGAGGACGATCTAGCAACTATGGAATGAGAATTCCAACAACTTGGGATCGTATAAAGTTCTCACTACATTAGAAGAACCTATTCCTTGATAGGACTTCAATACAACAAAGTAATGAAGTCAAATTAACTAAATAGACTAATGCTATTATATCCATAATTGGTGGAAAAAAGTTCCTCAAAGCCCCACCAGTAGCAAAAGGTTTGCAACTTGAGGACTTGATAAATAAGCATATTCATTGTTTATAAGGTATGGGTGGTAAAGTGTATTTACAGCGGGAAGTTAAATTATCTCCAAGCGCAAACATGTAATGGCCATCCTTGTCATCTTCCCTCCATGGGGGAGAACCATTTTGAGCCACTCCTTTAACAAACAGAGAACTAGTATGGCCTGAGATTGCTCCTGAAGATGCATAGCTTGCTACATTTCCAACCTCTTGTCCACAAAATATTCCTACCTGGGCCTACACACAGCCATCCATTTATGTACCACTCAATATATTAAAATCAAAACTTTTCACCTGATACCTTCAATCACCCTCGGCATCCCCTTTCACTATTTTCCAAGAACTCATTTGTAAGTGTAACAAATTATAAAAAAAAAAATGCATATCATATCATATCATATTTCTTGCATAATAGAACAGAAATCTGGATTGAAAAAAAAATCATATAAAATTGATTATCCATAACTCAACCCCATTTCTAATCTGACTAATTAGTTAAAAAATAAACACGAATTTATCTGAATTTCTATTAAAAAAATTACAGAAATTCTCATCATACTAAAAACAAAATTATTAACAATTAAATACATTATAATAAATAAGTATAAGCCATATGCAAAAATAATTCAATTGCAACAAAGATCTGCAAAACTAGAATCGTAAGCAAATAAAAACAAATCGAAACAGATCAAAAATCAAAAGTCAAAGATCCAAATCTTTAAAAAAGAAAACGAACCGAGACTAAATTCAGGATTTGATCTATTCAAAAACTATTAAAATACATCAGATCTATCAAATTAAGAACAAATTGAAACAGTCAAACGCTGATAATACCTGAGGCACGTCCCAGCCAAAACGCGCTCTCTTCCTTGGTTGATCCAGGTGCGTTATGGGAATGACGGTCACGTGTTCCAACTCCATGATCAAAGAGAAATCCAGAGAATTTTCACGATTTTTGGTGCAGAGAGAATTCTAGCTAACCCTTGTTTCAATGTGAATAATAAATAACGTGGGATGAAGTTAATATGGGAACTGACCGACAACGTGGGTTGATTTTATCCGTGGATTTGAGTCTGACATGTGTTTGTTGATTCCACGGTTCGGTTTGGTGGCTACAGTTAGGATTTAACCGTGGTTGAGTTGAGATAGCTTTTGTTGACCATGGCAATAATTTCGAAGCGTTGCAAACACGCAGGTCAAAAGAATTGATCCTAACCGTTCATTTGATGGTTGGATAACATAATATCATTTTCCATTTCTTTTTTTTTTATTTATTTTTTGTTTATTCATTGACAGAATTATTTTAGACAACTGTTTCAATATTTTTTCAAAATTTTTTCTCTAAAAAATATATTTAAATTTATTTTCATATAAATACATTAAAATAATTTAAAAATATATAAAAATTAAAAATATTTTTTAAAAAATATATAAAAACTATAATTCAACCGCTAAATCAAATATCCATTAATAATAAAATAAGAGGTTGCAATAAAAGTTCTCAATAATAAAATAAGAATAAAATAAGAGGTTGCAATAAAAGTTCAAGCTAATAAAAAAAAACTTCTTATATAACTCATATTTTATAGTAGATCAGATTTTTTTTTAATTACAAGTGGAACATTTCTTTCAAAAAAAAATACAGGTCCTTTCAACTTTTTTATATAAAAAATAAAGTATAAATTAAAATATTTATACATATTTTTAATTAAATAAATTAAGAATTATCTATCTAAACCAAAAAAAGTTATTAATTATAACTATATATATAGAAAATTTGAGAGACAAATATAAATTAAAGTGTTTCATCTTACAATAAAATCCATTATATTCAATAACTCTATTTATTAATATTAATTTTTATTTAATTAAATCATAATAAAAATAAACACATGCATAAAATTAAAAAGAAAATTACATATCTCACAAGGTTGCATTTATTATAAATGCTGTAAAAAAATAAATATTTTTTATTTTTAAAAAGAAATTTCAATTATATAAAACATGAAAATTATATATATGAATTAGACAGATTTCTTAAAAAATTAAATGCATATAAAAAAATAATTTTTTTAAAAAATAAAAAATCAGTGATAAAGGATATTATTTTAAATATAAATTAAAAAAATTAATTTAAAAAAACACATATAAAAAAAAAAACATGATTGTTTTTTTAAGCTAAAATTACCAAAACTAAAAAGAAAACAATAAAGAAGCTAGGATGCTCTTGGGCTTTGTCTATTTAGGAAGGTGGCCTATGTTTTTAAAATGTAATATGCTAAAATGATTTTAAAAAATAGAAGTTAGCTGATAATATATTGCCTGAATTTATTTAAACAGAAGTCATTATAATAATTGAAAAATCAAGATTGAATTTATTTTATTATAAAATTGATTTGTTAAATTATTTTTTATTTAAAATAATTAGAAAACACCTTAGGCTCCTTCATAAATTCATTTATAGGCTAAAAAATCTAGAAAATTGTCTTAAAATCCCAAATCAAAATATTTTCTAAACTCATATATGTTTTCTAAACACTTTTAAGATAAAAAGAAAGAAAAATATCTAAGTTTAATTTTTCTACTCATCAAAAAAAATTATTTACATAAACATTAATTGTTTTGATGATTAGAGTCATTAGCAATAAAAACATTGATTGTTTTGATAATTAGAGTAATTAGCAATAAAATGTTTCTCTCACTATCATATAAATTGAGTGATCTCTATTTAGTGATCTTTCTCTCCCCTTTCTTGTGCAAGAAAAAAAAACTAAAGTAATAAATTTTTATACCAAAATTATATTATAATATGAAAGTTTGAGGATTAAAGTGAATTTTTTTAGAATTTTAAAGTCATCGCCTAGGACACGCCCTTCAATTCCAACATAGCATAGCAAATCATACGGTGTCTAATTTGAGCACTTCTAATGAAAAAAAAACATAATTGAGCCAACTGTCTATTCAATTTAGAAAATCTAAAGTGTTTGCTTTATTTGTTTGACGCAGATAAAATTTCAGGAGATGATTTTATCAAATGCCTTGAGAAAAGAGAAGCTATGAAGAAAAAGAGTTATATATATATATATATATATATATATTTAAATAGTTTAATGGCAACTAATATCCTAGAAAAATAGGATTATCCAAAATGAAGCGAATTTTCATGGATGGTATATAGGGTTTGCAAAAGGATAAAGAAAAGTTTTCTTATAGGAATGGAGAAAGAACATTCGATTTTGTGCTTTAAAGAGCCACTAGATAGTTGCCAATTCCCATATAAAAGTCCTTGGAGGAAAAACAGAAATTGTAATGGCTACCAGCTTATACTCCTTCATGATATGTGAAATGCCAAAAATATTCAACGCTTCTATAAAAACATGACTTCATTGTGTTCTTCATAAATTATGCTATGTTTCAGGTAAAAAATCCTTTAATAGAGAACCCACACTGAGATTTGATTATTGAGACAAAAGCCTCGATTGATTCTTTTTAGTTGAGGCATTCATCACCTCAATCCGCGAAGAAAAGAGTACGGTAGTCATTCTAATGGGATCTCTCTTTTCTTTAGAAAGTAGTGGCATCTTATTTTTCTTTAAAAGTAATGAGATCTGTTTTTTCTTCAAGAGTTGTGGGATTCTTTCTTCCTGTAGAGATAACAGGATTTGGATACTTGTAATAATATTTCAAGCAATGGCCTTAAGAAATTCTCGCAATTCTATAACATTTTAACTTGAAAGTAAACTACTACAATAACTTTACAAACTTTCTAATTGACACAGCCAGCCAGAAAGCTCTCTATATTTTCGTTAAGTGCATTTGAAGGTCTTAGGATACCAGCATGCAAATCTGAAAAGATAAAAGACATGAGATATAATAAAATGAGAAATGAAACACATAATAATTTACATGGTTTACCCAAACTTGACTACATCCACGGAAAAGTATAAAAAGATTTTACTAAGTAACGTAAGAATCACACCCTCTCTCTACTAATAAGAGAACAACTGAAATCTCTCTATTATTAGGAGAAAAAACCTTTCTTTCTTTCTCACAAATACCTTAAAACTTTATGAGATTACTCTCTCTTCTTTGTATCTTTCTACTCTCTTATAGTGTGCAAAATAAGCTTGGATTCATTACCTATTTACAAGCAAACATTCATGCAAAAGACAAGTGGCACCGAATTGGTGCTCAATATTGTTGACTTTGGCAGCACCAATTGTTGCCCAGCTGTCATTTCAATATTGTTGACTTTGGCAGCACCAATTGGTGCCCAACTATCATTACATTCTCTCACTTGAAGACTTTGATGATTTAATTATGTCTTCATAATTAATCATTTGTGATTCTTATATCCTTTTTATACTTACCATTCATGTTGCTTACATTTTAGTTAGGTCATAAAAGGATTTACACCATGTATACTTGTCAATATTGATTAGTTTGGTCAAAACATCTGTTGGATTTTTCTTTGTGTGAACCTTCTGAAAATCTACACTTTCATCTTCCACCACTTCGCGAGCAAAGTAATACTGAACATCTATGTATTTTGTTTTTAAATGAAATGTTGGATTCCTTGCAATATGTAAGGCACTCTAACTATCACAATACAAATGAATCTTCTCCTGTTTGTGTCCAAGCTCTTCCATAAATTTCTTTATCGATATTGCTTCTTTACAAACTTGTGTAGTTGCCTTGCACTTAGCTCTCATTATAGATAAAGCTACAACAGTTTGAAGTTTAGAAACCCAGTTCTTAGCTCCTTCTACAATTATGAACACTTCACTTATAGTGAATTTTCTTTTCTCAAGGTTATCAATATAATCTGAATCAATATAATATCTGATAGTAAATTCTGAACCTCCATAACATAATGTGGCATCTAAAATACATTTGATGTATCTTAAGATCCTCTTAATATTATTTCAATGCTCTCTACTAGGATTTGTCATGTATTGACTAACTACTTCCATTGCTTGTGTAATGTCTGGTTTTGTTCTTGGTTTTTGGGTTGTCTTTTGTTCTTGGCTTCAATTTTCCTAGCAATCAACAGTTCAACTATAGCGATGTTGTACGAGAGGTCATCTAAATCTGTGCTAACGAAGTTTAACACAATGATGACAAACATTTGCTCATTTACTCGTCCCTGGGTAAATATTTTTAGAATTGTTTGAGCTTCATAAAGAGAGATTGCTATGGATAAGAAAGGTCGAGTATGGTGTGAGCTTGGTAAGAGAGACAAGGTTTCTGAAATTAATTCTTAAAGATTCAACATCCAAGTTAGTATAGTCTATGTCTGTTTGTTTCTGTTGCTATCTTGCTAGCATACTCACTTGTGATTATTGTGGAAGTTGAAAGTCTCAATTTTTGGGATTTCATTTCTCACATCAGATATTGAACTTGAACTTTCTAGGTTTTCAGTATTTGATTGATTAATTTATCATCATGTTGACAAGTAAGAAAGAAAATGCTGAAAATGTATAGTGGATGGATGTTGTTCAGTTTGGCCTCTCAAAGTTCAAGACTTTATCACCCTTACGAAGTTATCGATCGTTTCTTGTAAGTTTGGAGATTGGGTTTTTCAAGTATACAGTAATTAATTATTAGTATTTCTGAAAGATAAGATAGGTCGAGATTTATGTGAAATTCATGTTTAATCACTTGTGTTGATTAGTCAATTGATAAGTTGGTGTTGTGTTTTTAGAAAATTTAATTCCTATTAAGCAAATCACTTATATGGGTATGAGTTGTTTTTGTTTTAGATTTAGTAATTCTTAGAAATGTGATCAATTTTTTTCATTTAAACATAAATAGTTTATTTTTTTTATTAATACGAGTGTTCAGACAGTTTACATGTACCTCAATTAATTTTACGGGCTTTAAAATACGAGTGTTCAGGCAATTTACATGTATCTCGATTAATTTTACAGGCTTTAAAATTAATGACCATATAAGTCCTGAGTGACCCTAAAATTTGTGAGATTTGAACTAGTGTAAAAAATAAACCTAAAATTTGACCACTTCAATTATACTTCTTGAGGTTAA